CACACACACACACACACATATATATATATATATATATATATATATTACACTGGTGGTCTCTTCAGCACACAGAGAAGGTGTTGGTGATATTAACCTGTCCGTTGACGAGCTCCAGGCCGATGGCGTCCACTTTAGTGCTGCTGATTCCCAACAGAACCCCATCCGGCGCCGTGGAGCGGAAGTCCAGACTCACGGAGACGTCCGAGCCCACGTTATAGCCCTCTTTCACTGTGGAGAGAGCGAGACGTCAGCCTCTGTTTGAACACTCATCATTCATCATCAGTGTCAGACTCACTGAAAGCGGCGTATCCGCTGCCGCTGAAGAAGCTGCCGCTCTGAGCGCGTCTGAAGCAGGAGCCCGCGGCGTGAGACGACAGCGCAGCGCTGAGCTTCATCTGTACGCCGCTGAACATCACGTCCCGCAGACACGCCGCCAGACTGTGTGTCACCTGAAGAACAACAGGTTCGGATCAGCACAACGCCACATTCTGGGGGCGGGGGGCGTATTACACAATGTTTCTTATCTTAGGTCTTAACCTAAGATATGGTACGTTAAATTCAGATTCAAGATTCAAATTCGTATTACAGAAGCAAATCTTAAAAGTGATGCGTTACAATGTTGCATTACTCCCTAAAAAAAGTAACTAATTATGTTACTTAGTTACTTTTTATGGCAAGTAATGTTACTTTTTAGTTACTTTTTAAATCTGGGAAGTGCTTGCTTGTTTGTTTTTAATATAAAAAGTTCTTCTTTTACAAATGTAAAGCCCTTTCACAACAAAGTGAAGTGAATGCGTCTCAAGCTGAAGGAAATGTAATTTCACGTCTGTACAGTAGAGGGCGCAGCTCAAACTAATCTCAGGAAGAATATGACGCAGGAGAAGAAAGTTCAACACTATTCAGCAATAACTAAAATTAAACACAAATGTGTCATTTTTGATTATTAGTATGGTTGAAGTGGATCATCGAAGGTCAGCAGCAAAGACATCGGTTCATAAAATGGGATTATTATTACGTTTCCGATTCTCTTGGCGGTGTATGTGGCAGGAAGTCCGCCGAGGTACAATTTCCCCTCCACGTCTAGCGTGTGTCCTTTAGTGTGTGTGCGGTCGGATTCGGTCCCGTCCACACTGACCATCACCATCTTCTTACTGAACTCGGCCTTCACCTGCACAAACACAGCAGACATACTGTAAACAAATCTCATTCATTGTCACATATGTGACCGTGCAGCACAAAAGCAGTCATAAGTAGCACAGGTATATTTGTAGCAATAGCCAACAATATATTGCGGTTCTGTAAATGCTTGGGTTAGGGTCAGTGATGTATTTATTACGTTTATTTAATCTAATTTTAAGTAACAAATGTTTTTATGGTTTTAGTTTTATAACCATAATAACCCTAAATCAAAGACCAACGATTCTCATATAATTTTATAATATATATATATATTACTTTTATAAATGTTTCTAGTTTTGCTAAAGCAAGCCAAGGGGTTGTTTTGTTGTAGTATTGAATTTCTATTAACAAAAATACTTTGTTTTCTTTCTCGTGTGATTGCATAAGTGACTAGAGGTTTACAAGTGCCAATAGTTTCCATTCATTGTGTATTTAATGTTTATTTTGTTTCAGTTCCATCGTAAACACCATAATATGTCATTTTTATTTTATTTTTTAAAAGCTGAGGAACTATTATCAACATGGAGTCATACTGAATACAGAATATTAGTTTAAGGAAAGTTCCTTGAGTTTAATAATCAATTTGGCTCACAGATGAACAGCAGCTGAAGTATTTAATCTGTGAATCCTGATTTGATGATGTAATGCACTGATTGAGATGCATGCAGTAAACTGTGATCAGGTTTACGGTGGATTTACCTGGTTCTGACGGTCTTGTTCTTGAAGCCCATGATCACGTGACTGTGTCGGGACAGTCCGAACTGCAGGGATTCTGGGATGGTTTCTGTGAGATCCGCCGCTGCACACTGAGGAAGTGACCATATAAGGGCGTGAGACAGCTATGACATTCTTACAATGTTACAGTCGTGAGTAACACATGTTCTGTGTTCACAGAAACTCAGCGCTATCTGAAGAATGCCACACACCTGTCATAATGACAATGAAACCTTTGATTTCAGTGCGCCAAATAAAGAGCTATTATACTCACCAAAAACCACAAACATTTTTGTTATGCAACATTTCTCATTTTCTCGTGTGTGATCTCATTAAAATTAAAGTGAAACCAAAAAATACAGAAATATAAAAACTATAAGAGTATCTCGGTGATACTAAAATAACACTGGTCACAGGATTCTGTGGTTACTTAGTAACAGTGTAAACTGTGATTGTTACAGCTGCATCATCATCAGGGGCCTGCTTCATAAAACAAGCTTACCAAATAAGCCAGGCTTAGTTCAGTTAGTCTGACTTATTTTGAACCAGATCAGCTGACAATGAGTCAGACTAACTGAAATAAGCCTGGCTTATTTGGTAAGCTTGTTTTATGAAACAGGCCCCAGATGTGAGCAAGTGTTCTTTGATGAGTAAATAAAGCTGGATGACTTTATTAGGAAATAAAAAATACGATCAGAGACAGAATAAAGTCAAGAGAGTGAATCAAATCAAACCAGTGTTATTTTAGTATCACTGGGATACTATTACAGTTTTATTAAGTACATAAAGTTAAACTAAATAAAAATGAGATGTTGTGCTGGCAACTAACTGAAAAAAAAGTTTATTTTAGTTTATACTTTGTTTAGATTTAATTTATTAAAATTATTCTAAAATGTATTTTTAAAGTTTATTTTACTTCACGTAACAAAAATGGTTATGGCTTTAGTTTTAGTGAACTATAAAAACCCAAGACAAAGAAATGCCTAATAATGAAAATATACTGACTGAGACTTTTCAAATGACTTTTACCATAGTTATAATTATCAATGAAATGATTTTCAGATTGATTTTTTCCAGCTGATGAACAATAAAAACATTGACAGCCATTTAGAATCCGTCCTGCTTTAAAGAGCTCGAGCATTTAAAGAGACAAATGAGAAAACTGAAGCGCTTATAATAAACAGAATGTTATCATGCATTGATGTAGGCACTGAAAACAAATGAAAAAAAAGTTGAACAAAAAAAAAATCATGTGTTTTTTTCAGAGATGTATATAAATCCAAATCTAGTTGTATAAATATTTATCTCCACTCAGGCGTCTGCAGGTGTGTGTGTGTGTGTGTGAGAGAGAGAGAGAGAGAGAGAG